TGATAATGAACTGAGCTTTTGTGGCTATTGCATAAACTTCCATAAATTGATTGTTGAAAACATGATGGGTACTAGTAAAAAGAACAATTTTCTCTCACTTTATCGTACCCTTTTATATGCATAGTTTTATTATGGTTGTTATTGTTGTTGTTACAACATAGATTAATGTAATCCATCCACTTTAACTTGGTTTTATCCGATATTTTATGTTGTGATATTCATTTGGACCTGTTTGCCACGTTTGTAATCAACTTTGAGGGACGCTTATCTCTAGTTTGTGACACTCACTATCCGGCTACCTAAGCTGATGGAGGGTTGAACACTATGCTTTCATTGGCTATTGTTATGAGTCATATTGGTGGACGCAAACTACCTAGTTGTGGTTTTTATGACAACCTCGGTCAGTGGTGTACGACATCGTGTAACATGGCTCAGAATCGGTCACAGCGGCACAGATGTAATCACCCTTTATCTACCTCTAGATCTTAAGTTTCAGTACATTTTGATACATCTTTTTAATTTTTTTTATTCGTGCCGTTTTATTAATGTTTGGTTTTTCTGCTACATTTCACTTTGCTATTTTTTAAAATCCACCTCGCTGTGCTAACGTATCATGGCAACTCTAGCCAAAATATGTGTCAGGCTCTACATTGGCCATGACTAACTGGTTACATCTAATACAATGATTGTTTTGCAAAACTAGGTATTGAAGACAATTCGTAAACACAGTACAATTTTCCTTCTCAGTCACTAAAGTATTTCAAATATTCGTGGTAGATTTCAGTGTTTAAAGTTACAATTAAAATTAACTGGGTATTTAACATGAGATATTTTATTTCTTGCTTTTACAACAGGTGAATTTTCAGTTGAACCAATTGATGATTTTTCATGGGTGATATTTTCTTTAAGTATACAGGTTCTGTATCATTTCTTAGTCCTACAACCCATTGCTTTGGTAAGTTAGGTCTTATCCAATGATAAATAGAATCTGTATCAGGGTAAAATATTTTTTAGAATTTTATTTATTTGGACACAAATATTATTGCAAAGGGGCCCCAAATACATATGCACCATACAATAACAACGAGGCTATGAAGAGATAGAGCATGCCTAGTGCGTATAAGAAAAAGGAGAATAACAGCGAACGGAAATTAGTGTATGATAGTGAAATAATAATAGGAGAGGCAGTTCGGTTAGGAAAAATACAACCAGAAAGAATGCTTTGAGTTAAAAAGTTACGTTCACTTTTTATGAGGAAAGCTACAGCAGGATTGCCACTGACTTCCATTTTTAGCCATGTCTGATAACATCTCAAGCCACTGTGTTGCACTATCTCTAGGACCCCAACCAGGGAATCATGAAGGACCAACAGAAGCCACCTCTGTTCAGATTTCTTTCATAATTCTCTGGGATGACATTCGTAGAACATGTCCGAGCCACCGAAGTCAGTGTTTCAAGATGGTGACACCAACTGCATTATCGTCTCTGTGCCCGAACACACGATGCTGAACCTCTAAATTACTAACATGGTGTTGCCACTGGATGTCAGCAATCCTTTGGAGACAACGATGATCGAACACAGAGAGTCTTCTAACATCCTCAACTCGGAGAGGCCAGGTTTTACAAGCATAGAGCAATACTGCTCTCACTGACGCGTTGTAGATCCGACGTTTTACAACCAGACTAACATAACGAAGGCGCCAAAGATGGCACGGATTGGCATAAGCCGCTCTGGCTTTCACTATACGTGCATTGATCTCATCACTCACACTCTCACCAGCATTTATGCAGCTACTCAGATACACGAACTTGTCAACTACTTCTATCTGCTCACCATGCAGGGTGAGTACAGGATTAGAATCCTGCGAGTCTTGTAGAAATACTTTGCACTTCGAAGGTGCAAAGCACATACCATACCTACGGACACTGATTGCCAACTGATTAAGTGCGGATTGCATGCCTTAGGCATTATCGCACAGTAAGACAATATCATCCGCATACTCAAGGTCGAGAAGTCTTTGTCCAGGCAACAGATACATACCACCATTACTTACATTTATCAGAGCTGTTTCCAAAATGTCATCGATGACAAAGTTGGAGAGAAATGGCGAGTTCGGGCAACCCTGTCTAACCCCACTGCTCGAATGGAACAATGGAGAGAGGTGGTTTTATGCCTTCAGTCTGCCTGAGGTGTTTGTATATAAGGCCTTTAGGATGTTAATAAACTTCTCAGGCACACCCTTCTTCAATAGACAATCCCAGAGAACAGTCCTCTCTAACGAATCAAAGGCAGCCCTTATGTCAAGAAACACTATGATTGTTGGCCTTTGATAAGTATGGCGGTGTTCTAACATTTGGCGGAGGGTGAAAATATGATCAATACATCCTCGACCGGAACGAAAACCGGCTTGCTCCCTGCGGGTCAATCTTTCTCGGGTTTTGAACAACCTACGAAGTATGATGGAAGCTAATAGCTTGGACGCAATCGGAAGTAGACTTATCCCCCGATAGTTGTTACAGGAACGACGTGAACCGCTTTTAAAGATAGGGACAACGATCGACTCATTCCATGACGGTCAAAAGTATATGAATTTGAAACATAAATCTTTAAGTAACCTTACTTTATTTTGTTACAGATGGTTGTAGTCTCTTTTGTTAACTAGTGGTTCTACTTTGTCCAAACTTATAATATACCATTCTGTTTTCAATACATTTCTTTTATGTTAAATAGTTTTGATAATAACATGACTTCCGTATCTCTACTTGATCAAATACACGATGATGTGTGGCTGATCAAACAAAAGTATTTGGAACTGGATTATAAATTGCGATACATTAATTCTTCATAAATGATCTATGTTAATGAAATGTACTCCGTTATTGGTGATAAATTATTTTCTTTCATTGTCCATAATCATTAAACAGTGCAAATTTTTTTTAAATATTTGTGCATTAATTAATTGGATCTCCAAGTGATTAATTTATTGTCTTTTTTTGCAGATGACAGGAATAAATCTTAACAATATTCTGTGCCCAGCTATAAGCGACCCATTCCCTGGCCCAAATTATCGTTTATGGGCAGTCTTTCACCAGTCTGTTATAATATTAGTACTGGGAAAGATTTTTACTTTGTTTTTGCTTCGATTAAATACACGAAAGGTGCCTTGGTTATGTCTGAATCCCAATAAACATGATCAGAAATCTGTTATAGAAAGAGTATTTGAATCTAGTTCATCAAATATATCAGGTGGCAAAATCACCTCATCTTGGTATTGGCCTGATCTATCCCGATATCACACATATCTTGAAACTGATGCCAAAAAAGATGAAGTTGTAAGCATATCCGATAATAAGGATTATTAGAAGCTGTCACCTGAATCGGTTATTATCTCTATGAACTCACCAAAAGCAAAGAATCTCCATATTTATTTTGTTATGCACTAAATACCTCGTTTTCTCTTTTTCCAGTTCTTTCTTGCACATAATGGTTCCCCTTTTGATTATTAACTAAATATATATTCCATTTTTGCTATCACCGACTCAAATAAATATTTGTGATAACGAACGTATTTCTACTCAGAGTGTAAACCTGTGCAAATCATTCTAGCAATATATATCTTACCAATTGCCTTCATCGTTATTTTCCGTGGTTGTTATTGTACAGTTTTTTGTTTGCTTATTTTTTCATGTGCATGTTCACACTTCTACAGACATCTCGTGAATTATACGAGATCGTTTCAGGTAGTTACTCACCATCAGTTTTCCATATTTTCTCTTTTTTTAAAAAAATATTTGGGTATTGTTTTATATTCTATGTAAAAAAAGTGAACCAGGTAATAATTAATAAAAATACTTATCAGTTACTCGCAATTATCCATCCAGTGAATACTTATGTTTAAACTACCTATTGCTTCTTATGTATTGCCCACCTTTTTATAGTCAGCTTATTTCGGTTGTGTCTGCTCTATTTTCTACGAACTTGAGTTAATATTGAGTTGCATAAATTTGATTTCCTTTATTTTTAAAATATTTCAATACACTTTGTTTTTTCTGTGTTTCTGTCTACGATATGTATGATTTATTTCCAAAACTTTTCTGTCTGTATGTGTAGTTTGCTAATTGCAGAAAACGCCGAAGCGCTTCCAGCGGCTTCATTTGTTTTTTTTTCTAAGAAAATAATATACTCATTGATATTTATGTTAATTGTTCTGTTTAATAAATTTCGGTGTAAACTAATTCTAATAAACAGTGTATAAACATTATGTAGTATCGTTCTTGATTAACTGTATGACTGCCATTGTTTCCTAGTTTGATCCTTTATGATAAATATTACATCTGATATTGAATATTTGTATAGTTTCAATGCGACCTACAGTTTTTCCTTAATGTACAATGACTTACTCAGAAGAACTAAAATACTTGTAACCATATTAGTATTTTAATAGTTGATTTTAATTCCATTCCAACCTTAAAATCTGTGTTCATAGTGAAAAAGAATATTTGTTTTTTCTATGAACAGGAATGATCGTAATACGACTTTTATTCATGTCGAACTATGATTAGAATTTTGTCTCACAGGTTTCGATTTTCAAACCTAAGTCGTTCAGACAGGGGCTCGAAGCACTCGGCATCAGCTAAAGTTTGGCTCAGTGCATAATATCCATCAGCTCTCATACGCAATAATTGCGGTCAAAGTCTTACACACAGAGTTGCTTAATGCCTTCAGTCTGCTGTAAATAAAATCACCTAATGCTGAAAACAACCATGCTTACATCAGCTGATTAGACCGTAAATCAAATTAATGTTTAGGTGTATATGTGATTCTCCAATATGTATGAACATACTGTGCAAATTTTCCCCTATATTCTCACAAATCAGAGCAATAAATCAAGGGAACGTTTTTCTGTACCGAGTTATTAAACGAACAGATTGCAAGAAGTCACTTGCATATGACTATCAATGCCCATTAGTTCAATCTTTTCTCCCGCCAGCAGTGATAATTTCTAAACATAGTCACATGCGTCAACACTCTAAGTGCTTAAAACTCATTAGAACCGTCAGTCATTATATCATTTCTAGAGTCCTAACATGACTACAGCTATTACGAAAAATTTTACTTACGCACAGTAGGATGACATGTTCTTTCCAGAAAAAATCACAATTTTGATACAAAACAGTACAGCGTAGTTTTCATAACTGATTTCTGCAGCTTATATTTATCCTGGGAGATAAATTCATTTTTTTAGCAATGGCTCCTTTGACTACTACTGTGGATCAGTACAAATTATCTTCTCTTCCAACTGATGGTGTTACTGCTGTTCGTTTCCAACCTGGGAAAGCAGCTCCACAATTCCTAGTCGCTTCAAGTTGGGACTGTACGGTGCGAATTTATGATGTGGCTTCAGGAAGTCAACGTTTGTTTTACCAACATAGTACTCCAGTTTTAGACACCGCTTTTTCTGATACTGTACACGTTGTCAGCGGTTCACTAGATGGAGAATTAAAATTGTTCGACTGCAACACTAATCAGAGTAAGTTTTGCACCATTGAGTAAAGAACCCATCTTATTATACTATCTTTTGATTTATCTTCTAGTATACAGGCAGATCTTCGAGGTGCAACTTCACTTACTATCATCCCTTCTCTGGTTACATCAAAGGTATATGGATGTCTGATTTACAGATTTCGTTAAGTAAGAAAATGAATATGACAAATAAATTCTCTTCTGTATACAAAATGGTGACTATTTGGAAAGAAATTTGCTATACTTACATTTGATGGAACCAGAGATTGGAGATTTCCTTTTCACGATATCTGATGTGATTTCTAACCGATCTCTCTATCACCTGTTATCGCACTATTAGCCTACACTGGAGACATTAAAAGCTGAACTTCTAGTTATAAGAAATTCAGACTATCTGAAGTTAGAAAAGCACTATACTATATACTAGTCTGTGTGGAAAGCTGAATGACTTAAGTACAGTAGTAAATGTCACTTCGTTATTACAGTAGTGAAATCGTATTGCAAATGACGGTCGCAAACAGTAAAAACAGATCTTCGTAAGTAAATCTAAACATCCCCTAATTCCTTTGTTACTCATTCGATCTCAGTGCTCTCATTTCTGTTTATATAAATAGCTCCAAGTGATGATTATGGATAAAAGCTGACTGACTAACAATTATTTCCAAACTATGCACTCGTTTGTCAAGTTTAAATATATTTATTTGACACCAGAATAAATTGATTTTCATTTATTGCGCCACTACGATATAAATTAAGCAGCTCAGTAAAGCAAAAAATATCATTGAGATGATCTCACTTCCAAGTCTTGTACAATCATACAATTTACATGAAATGATGTGAGAACATATTTATTTGCTTGTTTGTTTCATGGATATTTAGGTATGAGTGAGGAAGTGAGTGAAATCTATGCAAACTTCTAAAACTACTAGTAAATAATGTGAACAAATAAATCGATTAGAAAATATAACAGTTATGGGAGACTAAAGGTCATAGACGTAAATAACTAAATACTGAAAAAATTATAGTATGGAACTTTAAAAGTAGACCAATGAGGGTCGTTTGAATTTAATTAAAATCAATCAAAATGAAAACATTTTATCAGAATGGGGAGTTGTAGAGATTGTAGTAGTTTTAATAATTGAATTCATGAGTTTATTTGAGCTAGACCACTATAGAAAACCTGGACGCACTGAACGGCGACGGATGACGGGTTGTGCAAGATCATGAACCGATTGAAGTTAGACATCAACACCGTTGGATGCCGGCTCAATAGTCTAAAGGTGAAATGTTCGCGCACGAGGCCGAAGGGCTTGGGTTCGAACCCCGGGTGCGGGATTGTGGATACGCACTGCTGGGGAGAGTCCTACATTATGACGAAACGACCATCCAATGCTTCCAGGTTTTCAGTGGTCGTTTAGCTTGGATCGACTCGTGAATTCAACTATTAAATAACGTTTGTCAACATTACATTGTGGGACACCAAAAAATAAGATTTTCAAAATATTAATGATGAAAAATATAAGAACAAAGGTTATTACGGAAGGACCTAAAGCTTAAAATACCTACACAAAGTAATCGTGTAAACTATTTTTGTATATATCTCTGTAGACTTGGATTGTGCATACTTAACACTTACATTACTTACTTACACCTGTTACCCCTCCTGGACGAGCATAGGTCGTCCACCAGCATTCTCCATCGAACTCTGTCCTGGGCAATCGTTTCCGGTTGCTATTCATCCCTTTGATATCTGCTTCCGATTCTCGACACAGTGTGCTCTTTGGCCTTGCTCTTTTCCGTTTACCTTCAGGATTCTAAGTTAGCACTGTTGTGACTTGTTCCCTACTAATATATGACGTAATGATGCCGCCGATTAGATGCATTTACGAAGTGACCAGAAATATATAGTATGCCCAATTGTACAACATCAGAAACAGACCACAAATTGTCTACTTTGTTCAGGTGTTTTAGAGTCCTAGAGATTTTAGTGACTGACAATTGCTCACAATTCGTTGCAGAATCAATCAAGTATTTTTTCAACATATATGGAATAATACATCTACGTTCTCCGCCCTGTCATCTTCGATCCAATAGAAAAGCAGAACGTTTTGTCGACACTTCAACGAGCATCGCTGAAAAGGGAGGCGAGGGGACAACTAGACAGGTAATTACAAAATTCTTAATGGCCTACAGAACTACTCCGAACCCAACCGTCCCAGATGGTAATTCTCCTGCTGAAGCCATGTCGGAAGACGTATTCGAACTATTTTCAACGCCATGTTGCCAACCAAAATAGTGGATAGGCACAGACCAAATCTTAATATCCGAAATTCTAACGTTGGTGACCAAGTGTTCGTTAAGTCCTACCTCTGGAAGAATCGATGAGAATCCCAAAAACTCGTACAAAGATTGGGAAAAGTTTTGTACAAAGTCTGAGGAACGTTTCGCACATGTATCACACACACAAACCAAATCCTTAAAGATAAAAGAATGATGCATACTCGAGATAATCAGCTGAATCTCCCACTAGAGTTAATCTCAGATACATTAACGACATATTCTCCCAAGAATACGGAAAAGAAGACTTGGACCATAAAGACAGCGAACAAAATGGAATGCCGTCGCAAACCAGTTGTCAGACTACAAGTGGACCCAACGAATAAATCTTATTCCGAGGAGGTGTCTGGATGACTTCTGAGAACTACGATGGAGCCTTCAGTGGCCCTAAAGGAGCCGAAGAGTTTCCATCCAATCAGAACGTGATAGAGCTTTCTAGAATATCAACGTGGTATGCTACTATTGGAGAGTAGCATAACATGCCTCTTTGCTGAAGTATGATGTTGATATAACAAACGCTAATATCTATAAATACCCATAATTTTCCGTACGTTTTGATACTCACCCAACAAGCACTTCTCCAGTCTTCTATCTTCTCATTCGTGACCACGGGGGTTCTATACGTCCGAGTGCTGTAGTTGTATACTGTATTCTGCGTTAATCAAGTAGCGAGCTTAATAAGGACTTTCCTCGTGATACAGTTAGTTGATTTCTGTAATGTATGTCCTACCCACCTCTATCTTTTCCTAGTTTATTCTTCAGCTGTAAGCGGGTTTTTTCCCTCCCATAGTACGCTGTTGCTGTTGGTATCCAGCCAACGGACATTGAGTATTTTGCGTAGACAGTTCTTTAGAAATGCTTGTACTCTTTTGATGATGATGGTTGTAGTAGTAGTTCTCCAAGTTTCAGCTCCATACAGTAAAACAGTTTTGACGTTCATATTGAAAATTCTGACTTTGATATTGATTGAGAGTTGTTTTGAGTTCCATATGTTCTTCAACTGCAAGAATACTGCTATTGTTTTGCCAATCCTTACCTTTACGTCTGCATCGGATCCTTCTTGTTCATCGATGATACTGCCCAGGTACGTGAGAGTTTTCACCTCTTCCAGGGCTTCCTCATCAATTGTGATTGGGTTGGTTGGTGTTTTCTGTGCTGTATTTAAGGACCATGCTTTTCCCTTGTGTTTGTTCAGGCCTACTGATGCAGAGGCTCCCGATACACCGGCTGTCTTCACCGGCATTTGTTGGTGTGCATGAGTAGAAGGCCTAGGTCATCTGAAGAATCCAGATTGTCTAGTTTCATGCAAGCTATCCACTGTATTCCGTGCTTCCTGTCAGGTGTGGAGTTCTTCATAATCCAGTCAACCACTAGAAGGGAGATAAGAGGTGAGGGTGAGCAGCCTTGTTTTATACTGGTCTTCACTTGCAATGCGTCTGTCAGCTGTCGTCGATGCACGACTTTGCAGTGTAGCCCGTAGTATGAATTTTAGATGATGTTGATGATTTTCACACCATAGTGTCGAAGAAGTTTTCATAATGTTCTCCCATCCATACTGCCAAACTCCTTCTCATAGTCAGTGAAGTTGATGCATAGTGACGAGTTCCACTCAACTGGTTGTTCAAAATTGATCCGTAGTGTCACGATTTGGTCTGTGCACAACCGATGTTAACGGAATCTGGTCTTTTGATTCCGAAGCTATGTGCATACTGAATCTTTCATTTGATTCAGCAACACTGTTGAATGCCTTTCCTGGTACCGATAGTAGTGTGATGCCTCTGTAGTTCTCACATTTGCTCAGATCCCCTTTTTTGGTATCTTGATTAGGTGTCCCTCTTTCCAGTCTGTTGGCACTTGTTCTTCCTTCCAAATCCTCCTGAATAGAGTGTGAAGCATACTTGCAGTTACTTCTATATCTGACTTCAGAGCTTCAGCTGATATATTGTCAGGTCCACCTGCATTCCCACTCTTGGTTTGTCTGATGGCCATCCTGGTTTCTTCTATCGTTGGTGGGATGATATTTATAGGAAGGTGTGTGTGCTGCTTCGATGTCCGTTGGATTCAGTGGAGCTGGCCTATTCAATATTTCCCCAAAGGATTCTACCCATATGGTGCTCTGTTCTTGAATGTCAGTGATTGGCTTGCCTTATTTGTCTCCGACCTATCTCTCTAGTTTACCACATTTTCTTTGTCAGTTTCTCCGCTGTGTCATGTAGTTTTTTCTCATATTTCCTTCTGTTTCAGCTTTTTTTTCACTGTCGTTGCTAGGTCTTCCACGTATTTCCGTTTGTCAGTTTTAATGCTCCTATTTACTTGCTTGTCTGCTTCTGTGTATCCAGGTTTTACCCTGACTTTCTCTGCTCTTGTTCGACTATTGTTAATTGCTTTCTTGTTCTTCCTTTCGTGAATGCTGTTTAGGGTTTCCATAGGGTTCCATTTTTTATGATGATGATCCTTCTTGCGGCCCAGAATCTCCTGACACATTGAAGTTAGTGCTTTTTTGATGCGTTTTCATTTGTTCTCCATATTAGATTCACTTTCCTTGAGTAGATTTTGTAAGGTTTGGAACCTGTTGTTGAGAGCTACCTTGAATTCGTTGAGTTTGTCAGTATCTTGAAGGAATTCTGAAGTGAACCTTTGTAATCCTGTTTTCCAGTTGTCCAGTGCTTTTTTAGCTCCAGTTTCATTCTGGCAACCTACAGGTGGTGATTTAAAGCCGTCAGCTCCTCTCCTGGTTTATTACATCCTCCACTTACCTTGTGAATATTTTGCTGATGCGAATATGGTAGACCTGGTTCTCTGTTGTGTGATCCGATGAGACCCATTTAGCTTTGTGTATTCGTTTTTGTGGGAATATTGCGCCACCTATAACCATTTTGTTGAATACACATTAATTTGTAAACTCGTCACCGTTCTCGTTCCTTTCACTCAGTCAGTCGATGTCGTCCCATGATATCTTCATACTCGGTGTTATCTATTCCAACTGGCGTTTAAGTCTCCCATCAGGATGTTCAGGTCATTTCCTGAACACTTCACTATAATTGATTTCAGCCTCTCGTAAAACTAGGCTTTATCATCGTTGTCGCTATCATTTATGGGTGCATAACACTGTGTAGCATTGATTGTGATTCCCTGCCTGTTTTTGAATGATGCTTTGATGATCCTGGATTCATGAGATTCCCCATCCTATAAGTGCTGTACCTGCTTCCTTGGATAGCATCAGGTCAACTCCATGAGTGTGCGAAGCATTTTGTTTCTCATGAACAGAGTACAACAGCATCTTTCCCGAATCTATCCTTTGCTGTCCAGACTGAGTCCAATGGGTTTCACTGATTCTGAGCACCGACAAGTTGTATCTCCTCATTTCCGTTGCTATTTGGTCGGTCCTCATGGTCTCCCACACTGTCCGGACATTCCTTGTACCTATAAATCTTGTTACTCTGGTTGTTATAAGGGGAATCGATCTCGTGACTTCGAAGAATCTCGGTTTTCATCATTAGGCGTCTTAAATCTTCTGAATGAAGATCTTTCAACTCCGAAGGCAGAGTTTAAATGGTGTAATTTGTTTCTTCTGGTTAGCGTTTTTTAGCAAGATTGTTTTCTGTGGGATGGAGTTGTTGACCCCATGTTCAACGCTCCTCTTTCAACTGGGTTTAAAACTGGAAGTAGTTCTAGAAGAGCTAAAGGAGGAGTTAGATTTAGTTTATATTCAAATATTAATCTCAGCGTACCGTATTCTAAGGTTTGTGAGAAGTTGATTGTTATTTTGTTCAGAAAAAATGACCCACATTTTTTGTCTCATGCCTCACGTGAGGAAATATAATTATTTTAGAACTTATGTTTGAGTTCACACGCGGTTTCCACCTACATATTACAAATATACGTTTATTCTAATCATCAAATGTTTCTATCCTGACAATGTTTTAAATATTCAATATTTTGGCCAAATATCTTCTTTACTTGTAATTTCAGATCAAACTTTAGGTTCATGTTTGAGAGCTATTAGTACGATGCATTACAATTCAAATATTCAGGCTTGTATCACAGGTAGTTGGGATTGTACTGTACGTATATGGGACCCACGTGCTTCTGTAGCATCATCCAATGCAACTGATTCAAAAGGTGGAGCACAAAGTGTTCATCGTCAACCTAGTACAGTGTATACGATGGATAGTATACGCAACCAACTGGTTGTAGGTACAGCTGGACGTCATGTACTAATATGGGATCTCCGTCAAATGCATGCACCTTTAGAACAGCGTGAATCAAGCCTCAGATACCAAACTCGATGTATCCAATGTTTTCCAAATGGACAGGGTTATATATTAGGTTCGATTGAAGGTAATGATATGTTAATCGACACTATCTTATTATGATTATTGTTACTGTTTTTTGTCTTTCCATCGAAAGGATGTAATTATAAATGATATTGGAGAAAATCATTGTTTATTTCACTTTTTTCTCAATGGTTTCACACAGTGTTGTGATCACATATATGAACACATAAACCACATTATAAAGGGATCGCAGTTCACTAGTAATGTTCTGTCGAGCATTGAGGTTTATTACTCAACATAACTGACCGAAATACAATTCTAACCACTGTTTTGTTTAAAATTTGTTTCTATAATTTTAAATTCAGATTCCTCAAACCAATGATATATATAGATTAATGTGTTTCGTAGGAATAAGTGGCATACATACTGTTGTTTGTGGTTATTAAATGAATTCAACACCTGATGAAGTAATTCTGCTACTTTGTGATTTATATTTGCCCACAGCTTTAATATATGATGTATTTTATATACGTGTATTCATAATTCAGCTTGTGTACTATCATTTTATTATTTGTTTGTGTATTTAAAAGTATGTTTCACGTAAGTGTATCCTAGAAACCTCTGGTATTCACGTCCCACTTCACCATCGTCGTCACCACACTAATGACCGAAATTGAAGCGAATATGACCAGCTAATTTTCGATTGACAGTTGTTTATCTGTTTGCGCGTTACAAATTTTATTCCAAATAATGAGAAGCTAGCGATCTCAGCGTAATTTTATTATCTGTTCCTATATTATAGCTCGGTTTTGATGAACATTAACTTCTAAAGCCAACTGAGTAATTTTCGATTTTTGCAGCCTTGCTAAATTTCTCCGATACGTTGTTGAAAATGGTTTTCTGTACACTACTACACTAACGAACTGTACTATACTCCAGATGCTGGTGGTGTGAATATTTACATAACTCCGACACTTTTCCAAGTGCCTATCTAGATCTCAATGGCGAAATGTTATGTAGTTATTGTCAGACACATTGCCGTCCTAAGCGGAAGTAATCTAGCTTTACCGAAACACCGAACGGAACAAACTTCTAAACTAGCTGCTAACTCACTTGAAAGAATAGATAACTGAAGTATTAAGGAAACTCACTTGTAGGTTCTGAGGACATCCTATGTTTCTATGGGTTTCTTTTAATTGCTAAATATCCATAAATTGTTTCCCAGCTAAATGAGAACAGATTAGCATAAAAGTACTTGGAGATAAGATTGTCAAATTATAAAACTGATACAAGTCTCATCGAAATTTTTTAAATACTTTTATCTTACACAAACTGAAAAACGCTTAAAAAACGACTTGCTAGGAGTACACTGATTTTTTTCACATATCTAACTGAAATAATAAATCGAAACTATTTTACCTGGGTATTCTTAGTTGAATACTTAATGTTTATGTATTTAAAGCAAGTTATAAAGATCTCGACAGCTGAATTTAATGCAGTGAAAAGTTATCCCCCATTTTATAAAGAATTTTGTTTACTAGTTGAAATCTACTTACTAGGCAATGGACACTGGTTTTTGTATTTTTAGGTCGGATAGCTGTCGAAATGTTTGATCCTAGCCCGGAGGTTCAAAAGAAAAAGTATGCTTTTAAATGCCATCGTGTTAAAGAAGGCGATAAAGAAACGATTTATCCAGTAATTGCCATCGCCTTTCATCAAGGATACAATACGTTTGCTACAGGTATTTGTCTTTCATCAATTCATTTTTTTATGATACTTCGTTGATACCCTGCTTTTGCAGTAATTAGTTTATAAAATGATGAATCGCAAGCTGCTTATGAAATCAGATACTTATAACATCACTTTGTATATTCATTTTCAGGACATTTCATTTTAAAACTAATTGAATCTCCCATTATTTTATTGCTTTTGCAAATATTCGAAAAGTATTTTGTAGGATTCTTTGAAATGACTATTCAAGTTGGAATGTCTTTCGGGATTTATAAACTAGCGATCACCCATCGATAAATATTTTTGAATCACACTGTCATTGGCGATGTATTGATTCCTTTATATGGATACAAGTAGATTATGTTCTAAACCTTTCTGTATTTCTTATGAAGCGTAATTAAAATATAGTACTTATATTAGGATCAGACTATTTTGATCATAATCTTCAACTATTTTGTTTTCTCGATGCACCACACACATTAATCTGACAAGGAATATAATATTTCATCATATCTGTTTACCTAAAATTGATAGCATATATTTTCAACAAACAGATAACTTTATTTAAACCATCATTGTTACCCTATTAATCAAATGAATTCTACAAATAGATAGGACTTATTCAATCTACTCTTTGTCGTCCTAACTTTTATCGGCTAATCGTCAAAAAAAACAGACGAGCAAAAACTTGCAACTAAGCCATAAAACCCAATGTTTTTTTAATTTAACTCAGTTATTCCAAAGTAATTTGAAGAAATTTTTTGGTAGACACTTTCTTTTACTCTGAATCTTTTTTACAGTTGGTAAGATCACATACTTTTTTTCAGGTATCTATGAGGTCATTAGTGGATGCTTTGTATTTTAGTTATATGAGACTACTTCACAGACTGTTGAGTTTTAAACAAAAGACTGATTATTTCAATGCATTGTGGTGCGATCTAATACCATTCAGAGTACTACGACTTTCGAAAAAGTTAATAAGCACACATAAATAGTTGAACTACCAAATTTTACAAACGGAACAAAGTCAGTGTCTAATGTCACGTGATTTGCCAAACATTAGTTTTTTTATAATAATTATTCTCATGCTACTCACACTTAACCTTGTCTTTCCATACCAGTGTTTATTACTCTTTTGTAATTAAAAGAATATTTTATTATGGTAACCTAAAAGGGTGTTATTTTTGTTATTATTTATAGATGTAAGGTCTGTAGGTTCATTGTTGTTTCAGATATCTCTTACATACAACTTATTTCATTATGTAGATAACTTGAAAAAAAATAATTGACTCAATTAAGGGTGTTAACCATTAGTATTTTCAATATATATATAAAGATATTGAACAATAAGTGTCACCATGGTGATAGTTCTTATTCTGAGGAGAATGGCCTGTCATATTAAGGAATAAGCTAGCCTTTTTACAGGATTTGTTAATTGTTGCAATAAATGTAGATAGTGTATCGCCAAAGTAAGACAAAATATCATCATTCCGATAGATAATATATTTATTGATCAGAATCATCTTGCTAATGTGTTAACAAAATAACTTTTCTGAAATTTGTGCCAGTAAAATAAAATGTAGGAATAACTACCTTTTTACATTTTAATTCCTTAAACAGTTGTTTTTGGCAGCTTACCACAAAGGTCGAATGTTCAGAATATATCCTGTACTTACGAACACCAACTATTTAAATACGAGTTAGGTCGACTGTATATTGTTGAACAGCGCAACATTGTCATCTCTGTCGTAATATTCTATCATTACAGCTAATTTTAATTAAGAATAGTGTAAACCTTTTTCAGCAGTGATAGTTTTATATTGGGTGTTTTAAAATTGTCATGCAGAGGATTTTATAGTGTCGATTATTTTAAAAATCTCTTTGCAATTACTCAAATTCATTGAAATGTTTTTTCTATTATTTCTTCGCGTTATACAGCATCCTTTGTTCTTCTGATAAGTTGTTTAGAACTATCACTAAAACATTGCTTGCTCATGCCATAATCAGCAGCGATAACGTTTAGAGTATTTGGTAAATTTAGTTCGTGAGCTTGCTAACCTCTGTGACTCATATAGGATTCACGCCACTACGGTGACGTGCAATGATAGCTAGCAAAGATATGGTTTTAGAAAAAAAGACTAAGGACTGACAAACAAATACATGACAATAGTCTATTAGGTAACTGACTTTATGTCAGCAAGTAAAATAATCCTCATCTCTGTTTCGAGATCTTACGTCACATAGCTCAAAATCTCTTTATAGTTATTTTAATTGTAATTGCTGAATTTCATTTGTGCTTTTCAAACTATATTCAATATTCTCATAATTTTCTTTATTATCATTTTAACTCCTCTAGCTTTTTATCTTGTGAATTTCTTCATACTCTTCTAATATGATTTAATCACTTAGATTGATTTACATTTGTTTCAATTCCTATATTCATTGTTTAAAAAAAGAATAAAGAAAATTATGTATTAATAGCTAGTTATGAAGTATTTTAACAAGATTTTACTATTGATTTTCGAAAATCTGATAATTGAATTCTTGGTTTCACTGTTTATTGTTTTTCATCATCTAGTTACTCAATGTTGACTGAACTGTGTACATCTAGTTTAATTATTTCTATTATTATTATTGTTGATATTTCATGTATGTACATGTGTAACAATTCCATTTGCATTTCATTGTAATAATGCCTTTAAACGAATAAATAAATATTTAAATAATCTTTAAAACGTTGAACGGTTGTGTTTTTTTTCTTTAAAAAAAAGGAAAATATTAGAATTTCGATGTATAAACAAATTTTTATAATCATTTGTACAAATATGTATATATGAGTTGTACATGTGAAATCGTATTCTTTCTTTTTTTTTCTTTTATACAAATATTAGGTGGTTGTGATGGTATTGTAAATATATGGGATGGGTTTAATCGTAAAAGACTTGCTCAATTATCAAAGTATCCAACTAGTATATCAAGTTTAGCATTTTCCGAAGATGGTAATTTACTAGCTATTGCTTCTTCATACATGTATGAACGTGGTCCAATTGAAAATGAACCAGAACCAACTATTTACATAAGAAGTGTTGCTGAAAATGAAGTCAAACCTAAACATATCAGTAATACTAATAATGTTAGTGCTACTGGTGGCGGAGGTGGTACTACTGGAGCCAATGTTGGTTATAAAGGTTAAAGATAAAATCAGAAGCAATTATGAATTTAATATTTGTTTTTCCATAATCCTGTAAAATAAACATTTCCATATCAAATCATTTTGTTAAATATTTAAAAAGTACATATATGTATCTGTCAAGTCTCATTTTCGTGTAACTCTTATAAATGTCATTTTCTGGAGATCGAATTTGTATATCAACATTAAACTATTCCGTTATATCACATATAAGCGGACAACATATCACTTTAACGATAGTTTATCAAACTTAATTTAGTAAGTCTTCCAAATAAGACGAAACGTGCTTCCTGGATTCCACTGCTAGGGACTATCCATCTTTGCATATTATGCTTGTGAATTAACGTTACATCAAGGCAGTATGCATATATGCCAATAAGAGACTGATCAATTGCAGTTCTAACCATCAACCGGAAGATTCAAACAAGCAATACCAATTGAATTTAGCCTTCCAAATTGTTTGGAGCAGTGGTTTATTACTTAAGGCGTTTGACTTTCAGTCACTAATTCCAAGGTAAAGAAAACCACAACCCGCTCCACCTATTTCGACGTAGGTAACCGAGAAGAATCATTAGCCTTCACACGTAGAGTGTGGCTCATATCAAAGTATCTAGTGAATGTCTCAATCTTTTATTGTTTGTAAATTAGTTAGGTTATAAAAGTAATTTGACTGACAATAACAATTTATGTGGTAGTATAACATGAATTTATTATATTTCTCGTCATCTGCTTACAACCTAAACATATTAGTATGAATCATTAAAAATCAGTATACATACTTTATATCATAGCAATGGAAGGGTTCTCATCAATGAAGATTATTGAGAAGAGCAATAGGTATGGAAGAACGATAAGAGATGTTCATATGTTAATTAATGGACTGAATACAAGAATATTCTTGAGTAAACAACTAAAAACAGAATTACTTAGAAATAATATATATATAAAAACATATCACCCTAGCGCTTCCAACGCTATGATCTAAAGTATGTACACTGATTTTATGTAATTCATGCCGATATGTTTATGTTGTAAGTATATGACGAGAAATCACAAAACACGATAAATTCATGTTTTTCTTGGTTAAGTTGAATTTATAAATGGAAAAAAATTGTTCGAGATAAATTGGTTATTGAATAAACTACTAACAGAACCTAAATACCGACAACTCAATGAAGACTAATTACTATTTTTCGAAATGGTTATTACAAATATTACATTAGGTGTTTATTCAATACTTCATCTTAGGATTTTCATATTTTATACCACTTTTGCTCCAGTATTAGGTTGGTTACAGTTTGCTTATTCTACGAGTTGAAATCAATGACGATTTTACTGGAATTTTGATTTTAGCGATGGGACCGATATCACGCACTAATAGTTTTAAGTGTAGTGAGACATTATAAATAAATAAATATTATCCTATTGTTTCCAATGGCTTTCAGTTGCACTTATCGTTTTATTGCATGTGTGAGTTACCTAATTAAATTTATTACTTTCAAGATTTTGATTATTGATTCAGTTGTATCATAAGTAATTAAAAGTAGTGTTTGTTAACTATTACTAGAGGTCATATCAGTTCTTCACTTTTTAAAACTGTTATGTGATGAATAATATTTCTGAAGTTAGCCGTAATGAGACAGCGGAAATATATTTATTGACCGAGTAAGGATCATTTCTTAATAAATGGAGTTGTTTTGTAACCAACCTTGAAATGAACCAGTAGTTGTAAGGGTAGCTCACATACGACTATGCACTAAGTTCAATTTACATAAATGTTCAAAAATTTAATTAAATTTCTTTTAGCATGTGAAAGTACTTAATATTATGCGGAATTAGTCCAGTGTTAAGCACATGAGAATCCACTATCCTTTATTGTAGAAAACTAAACGGACACTTATTGCTTATTGAACAGTGAATTATATACTAACAAAATAATGAAATAAATTGTGGTACATCACACGTAGATTATTAACGAGTGCTTGACAGGTCTTGCTAGTTGAACGCTATTTTCGGTTCCTAAGTGTTATGACTTTAAGTTGGGTCGATTTTTACCCTGTGCTAATTGTTGTGTCCTTGACTGGAAAAATTAGAGAGCAGCGTATTTATCGATCGACTCAATGACACGTAAAGACGGCCTAGAGTCTCGATTGGTCTCGCTTCCCTGTCTAGCCCAGTCAGTTGAGTCCAGTACACAAGTCACAACCTCGGATATATGAATCATTGTATTTCAAACATACTCTATTTATATACTAACCAAACCTACCACACCGTACCATAAAATAGAAAACAACATTTGTACAATATTTAACGGATGAAATAAATAATGGCCAATAGGAAATGTCCATTTGACGTCCAAGGACATCACTAGGCTTAACATGATAATGATTGGCACATTATTCTGCATCCATAACACTAAGCTATTTTTGTAACCCCAAGCTAGAACTACACAGCGACCTGAACACGAGAGAAGAGGCGCAAGATATATGAGAAGCATTTTACTCTGAAGGTCCGTTTTTGCACAGAACATATAGAGTTTTTATAGTATTTTAGGTGTCCTTGGGTTTCCCGAAGATTCTGGATTGCTACTAAGCATAGCAGTATAGTAATCAGCCAATCAGAAACTCGACATGTGACTTATCACTTTCTTGATGTTTCTGGCTAAACTTCAACTGAACGCTGATTGGATAAAATGCTTCTTAGTGTTTTCCTGATCTTTTCTTGTCTTTCGCGAGAAGTTTTCTGGATCACCCAAACAGTACTAAATCATAAAACTAATATCTAAGATAGAATGGTTGCTGGATGCTTCGTGGAGTACAACCACATCGGTCGGAGATGAAATATATAAAGCTTCGAATACTGTAATCTAAAGTTGCTCAGATAATATATTTTTAGTAGTCATGTTCCGATACTCCGTTTATTTATATAGACGAGCCTATTATTTTCTATTGTTTAGAGCTTGTATGTATAATAATATTTAATTACAAAATCTTGATAATCATAATGGAAGTGCTGTTTCTGATAGTAACCCGATATCTATCAGTTATCCTAGAATGACACCTTAAAAGTCATCTAAATAATGTTATACAACTTACAGATTAATATTCATGTGAGTTTTCATTGCCTTTTTATACTCAGTTCTCTTCTCCTATCATATTTGTAGTCATTAAAAACAAATTAGTGTTCATTAATAGAGACACAATTGTTTTATGAAATTAACATTTCAATCAAAATCTCATGGATAAGATCAGGTTAGACTTTCACAAATAACTTATGTATTTCCTTAAGTTCGGAATCCGTATCTACGTTTTAAAGGTAATAAAATCAGATTCACCAACTAAATATATAAATGGCTTTTACTAACTATTTGGATTGCGTTTTATCTCAATCCAGTGATCAGTTCTTTGCTGGATCTATTCAAACTTCAATAACTTAATGGTAAATCTCATCTAATGACGATTAATGTTAAAAAGGTAAGAAGTATAATTTTCTTCCATAATTTAGTTAAATATAATTGATGTTTAGTAAGTAGTATGATACCCTTCCAATAGTTTACTGTTTCAAAACATACATTAAATTTCCCATGAATTATTTTAGAAAACAATATTCTTTGATCGGTATCATTACCAAGGTTTGACTTGATAATTTCAAATAAATTGAGCATTGGATAGATTGTTATAAATAAATTAATGCATTGCAATATCCATATGAGTAGAAAAATTAGATTTTCTGCCGTTTCGTGACTTGGTGTAAGCCACTTCTTCAGAGAATAAATAATCAAATTAAAATTAATCCAAGTTTAAATAGTACAACAGAACAACACAAGAATTTTATGTGATGAATCAAGAAACAGGTCTGAATACATCAACGACATGTCATTGGCAAGCGACATGTTTGTAAATTTGTGTGTATGTGTGTACTGTTTAAGGATGGAAAATTGTGTGACCTTCATGATGAGAAAGGATAGAGTTTAATTTGTACGGTGATAGTGTGAATTGTAAATAAGATAAGACTAGGTGGCTGGGATAGTTAGTTCAAGTAGAATGTATGGTAGGGCCTTCTTTTCTATTGAGAGAAGTGGGACTAAGCATTATATGGAACGCTTCAGCTAATCTCCTTTCTTTGTAATTGGAAAAGCCTTTTTGCAGTATTTTGATATTTTTGAAATCGATTTGCTGGTTGTTGAAAATGGCGTGAACTGCTATTGCCGATTTAATTTGAAGTCTATCCAGTTCTACGGGATTGTTAAGAGGTTTCTTTGTGTACCTAATATGTTCTTTGGCTCTAGTCAAGATTTCTCGAGATGACTCTCCAATATAGAACGCATCACAATCGATACAACCTAATTTGTAGATGCAGTTCTGTGTTGACATGAATAGGTATTTTTGATTTGGTTATTTATTCTCTGAAGAAGTGGCTTACACTAAGTCACGAAACATCAGAAAATCTAACTATTCTATTCATTGGGATATTACAAATAGATTAATTTATTTAATTTTTCTGGTTCATTTAAATTTTATCAAAACAAATAGATTATTACTTAGTAAGTTTTATAAAATAATTGTGTTTTTAAATCACCTGATAAATTCATTAGTTAATATAAATTAAAACATAATAGATGTACTTTTGTTTTTTATAATAATTGACCTATGAACAAAAATATTTTGTAATTCATTCTCTAATAAACCTTATTAGTGTGCATGAAAATGTAAAACGATTTTTTGTTTTGTTTTAACTATCTTATTCTGTTAACACTTCCTGTGTAAATAAAACTATCGAAATGAATAGATTATATACTGTTGATTCTACTTTTTTAGTCAAAAATATAAAAAAAAATGTTGACAAGTATTGCTTTCTTTAAGGATGTTATTCACGAATTGTATGATTATTCATACAAAATATTTCATTTTATTACCATAGAATTATTATAAATAAAATTTAGATTTGAATAAATTTTAATCAATTATAGTGTTCTAGTGGTTAAGCGCTCGCACGCGAGATTG